GCAGTTATGTTTATAATAGGCAGTAGAGAGAATACTTTTGTAGATGAGCGTGGTGGCACTGAAAGGCTTCATTACTTTAAGTAGGAATCTATCCCCCAAATCCATAACTTTAACAATACTCAGGATAGATATGGGCACATTAGTTCATTTCTGGTTGGTGTCACTTTTGAACGTGTTCACTCATGATTACTGCATCTCATTTCTGCATTGATCTGTACTTTATAACCCCAACTATATGAAAATGCATGTTTACATTCGTATTTTTAAAGATTTCCCCCCCTCTCAAAGCACATTCTAGGACAATTCAGAAAAAAACCTGCAAATATGTACAAATATGTCTACAGTATTCAAACTCAGAATGTGAGGTTTTACACGCCCTCCTCCCAAAAGGAACAAAATGAAAATGCTACAGAACTGACAATTTTACAGTTAAAGTTATTAGTAGTGACAGTACAGCATCATGTGGAGATTTTGCTTATATGTGCAAATGAAACCTCACACAGTAATATCTGGAGAGTGCTATAAAGCTTCATGATAATAAAAACAATTTGTATGTATTTGGGAAGCATGCAATGCACAATTTCCCTCTCCTTTTCTCTGAAAATGATTTAGTCAACATCACTAAATCTACTCTGTGTGTGAAAGGTGTATCCAACTTCTGTCTTGGTTAAAAAAATAGAAGTATGGTGGTTGTACTCAAGTACTGTCAGAAGCTGATCAGTGACTAAGCTGTTCAATTTGTGGAATAGGAAAAAGATCCACTGGGAAAATGTGACAAAGATTCAGATAGTAAATTTTAGCAACATGTGGAACTCGCACTGGAATGTCAGTGTCTGTTGCAATTGTCACCATTCTCAAGAATATCAGCACAACTCTGGGTTTCAAGAGGACCCCACTTTTTTAAAAAAAATGATTGTCAAGGTCAGCTGAGCACAAATGATGCCACACCTTCCAAAACTTTATTGACTCTGAAAGGTGAATCGTTTTAAATGGTTAAGCTAGTTTAAAACTCTTAACAGAGCAATCCAACCAAAGTCAGTTTTGGGCACCTCACAATGAGAACAAGCTTGGCTGTTTCTCACTCACTATTGCTTTTTCTTTAGTATAATAATAATAATAATAATAATTTTTATTTATATCCCACCCTCCCCAGCCGAAGCCGGGCTCAGGGCGGCTAACAACAATAAAACAGTACAACAGTACAACACAACACAACACTCTAAAATCATTCATTATAAAATTGATTCAAATCAAGCCACTGGCAACCATTGGGCCAGAGCTCCGCGAAGATTGCCGAGGGAGGAAGTCAGGCTGTGCCCTGGCCAAAGGCCTGGTGGAACAGCTCTGTCTTGCAGGCCCTGCGGAAAGATGTCGAGTCCCGCAGGGCCCTAGTCTCTTGTGACAGAGTGTCCCACCAGATCGGAGCCACAGCCGCTAGTGTCGATAGCAGTACATTTACCAATCTAAACTGGGGGAGACATAATCACTAGCCACTATAAATCCAGCAAACCTGGATTTAACATGAAGTCAAAGCATACAATCAATGTAGACCTGCTTCAGTGGTGGGACCCAAGCATACAATCAATGTAGACCTGCTTCAGTGGTGGAACCCACTTTGGGTAATGACTCCATGTTGTCCACATGGGGTCCACATTGGGTAATGACTCAATACCCACTTTGTAAATGACTCCATGTTGTCCACAGCATCCACGTGTTTAACGGGTTGTCTGCATTTTACACTTACATCTCAATACATATTAATTTTGTAGCACTCACATGTGATATGGTATACACATACAGGCTCTTATCAAAAGGACCTTCAAAGTGTTAGGGTTAAGTGGGGAGAGAGAGAGAGAGAGAGAGAGAGAGAGAGATGGCGAACAAGCCTGATCTTGACCCTCACCAGTGTTGTAGATCTATAGTGTATAGATGGAATATCTGCATAGTGCTGTTGTCCCATCCATTTCTGGCTACCAGATGAGCATGCCTATGTAATATGCCATACACATATGGGTCAAATTCATGCCGCATTTTTACACTGTGTCATTAAAAATAAAATATATTGGAAAGGTATGTCTTTCCAATATATTTTATTTTTAATGACACACACTGGAGTGGTCAACGGTGTCATTGGTTTCTTTCAATGTCATTATTTTAAAAGATTAAAAATGGCCAATGTTTTTCTTTTTTAAAAACACAGCCACCCTAAAACACACTGTTCTTTCCATCTGGTATACTTTTCACTATACATAATGTAAAAGTTTGACTTCATTTTAAAAGCAACCAATGATTAATGAGAATAATAGTTCAACAACACTGACCAAATTTCAAAAGGACAGCCAAGCAATTGTATATTGACTTGTTGCGAAATGTGAAGTGCAATCTGATTCTCTTTGTATTACTTAAATATTCCCAAAGCTTTCACATACTGACTAAAGACAGGATATAACTGGCTAGGCGAATTATTAAGCAACACATCTATACCTTGGGGAAATTTCTTTTCGTAGGATAGACTGGAAGTGCTAATTGAGTTTTATCCCCTAATAATAGGTAAAGCTAATAAGTCTGGAAAGGCTGCTGATTCCAAAGAGCTGTAAATTGGACAAGATGATATTTTTGACCTGCCAAACCTACACATGAATATCTTAGAAAATCAATACTGAAATGTCTGTCCTTTCAACTAAATTAATGGAGTCATCAATAAACCAACTATGACTGTCATAATGCAGCAGGATCTGGCATAAAATCATAACATCTATGCAGCGACTGTTATGATAGGTCACTGAGGCATTAATGCAATTGCATCTCACTGCATCAGTTGCTACTCAGGGTAAAATTGGTTGCAGTTATGAAAATAGAGAACACAGAGTATTTAACATAATGTCAGAGAAGTTCAGTAAGTTTTGTTTATATTGGGCTTTTGACAGCTTGTGTACTCCGTGTTTAGCAGATAACGGGGATTCTCCATGTCTTCTTCTCAATGTTATTAAGTATGTTACCTGAATTTTACTATTTGCAGGTGCACTTTTATGAGTGGTGAACACCAAACCCCAGTGTGATAAGTACCCTTACACAACTGTTCCAAAACCTAAGAGAAAGTATAATGATCTACTATAAATGTATTCTGCTACAGCATAACAAGTTTCTTTGAGAATCTAATGGGTTCATCCCAGGTTTCCTTTCACTTTCCTGCAGTACCATATTCCCAAGCCTGATGCAAGGAAGCAGATGCAAAAAGCAGATGCAAGGAAAAATAAATCAAATACATATACTGGCAAGCAGTAATCAAATAATAAATTTTATTATTAGCTTATTACTATATCTGCAACCTGAATAATCAGTCTCAAAGAGCTGAGACATTCTGCCAGTATCCTTTGCCCTAACAGCTGGCCACTTGGATTGAACTGCATTTTGTAGTGCCTGACTTTGAATGGCTTTCCAACAACCATGCTCTCTCTTACTCTTGTTGGTGCTCCAAAACCCACTCACCCATTTGAGGCGCTAATGCTGCACTCTGTGGAGCTTTAAACCTGACATGACCTAAGGGATGCTCTACTAATCCCAATTTAAATGTTCTACTCAATATAAACTTTAACTGGGGCCCAAAGCAAGTAGTGTTTTAACAACAGCAGATCTGCAACACTTTAAATCATGTTTTAAAAACTATGGAGAGCTTTTCACCTGGCTGCTGAATCAGTATCTAATGCACACCCCTGCATTCATTTCCAAAAATACCTTCTTTTGGTAAGACCATACCTTAGAAATACTGTATTCTTTAAAGAATCGGGCATCCGCATCTCTACAACAGGGGCAGATATCATCACAAATCAAATTGCTTCAAAATCTCTTAATTTGATCTTTTCACAAAGTACAGCTGTGCTTTGTGAGACACCATATCACAGACTCCATCAGGATTTCTTATGAATGCACTGAGTAATTTTTGAGGGAGATAATATATCTGTTTATAGCCAAGGATTTCATACACTTGAGGGGTTATGCAAATGATCCTTGCCAAAGGAAAACGACCATTTGTAGAGGAGGAAGATGTGGCATGCTGACTACTATAGGGAGTGCTAAAGGACCATTAGGAAAGGGTTTTATTTGTAATAACTAGTATCTGTTTGTGTCCTTCAACAGCACTTCAAAAAATTGAACTACTGACACTCCTCATGGATGCTTTCCCCAATACTTCTGCCTTTACAAACTGCTAGGAAGTATTCCAAAAATTACCCCACCACATAATCACCTTTTTGAAACTGAGACACAGTATTTTCCATGAGTGACAACTGCAAATTCAGAGACTCAACATTATCCTTCCTGTTCTGTTGTGCTGTATAGACCTGGAAATATCTTTCTTCCTAAAATTTAGAAAGATTTTTTTTTTTTTTTAAGGTGAGAAATACCTTTACGGAATGCTTTAAAATAATTGCTATTCGTGCAGTTGGTCTTCTTTAGAAAAGAAATAATTAGATGCTGTTACAAGAGCCACTATTTCCTCAAGAGGCTAGAATGGCTTCAAGCAGTTAAAATATATGATTAAGTAGGATTCCCTCCCCTGCCCTACTAAAATGCTTATTATTTACCTTAGAGTCTCATTTCAATATACCTAGCAAAAAACTGTCTCTCTGCTAGCACTTATTACTAAATAATCTCCCATAATATCAATCCTTACTCCAGCATGATGTTACCTGAGACAATGGAACAAAATCCAACTGTGCCTGGCTATTTTGCACCTTAGGCAAGGCTAAGTATTTGCACCTATTTCCCCCCCCCCCCCAATTGCTAACTTCAATTTTCAAAAACACATGTCTTGTAGAAAAAAAATGAAAAGCCCCAAACTTGAAACTGCTAAATTTACTTTAAATTGCAGTAATAAGTAAGGCAGTGTTTCTCAAATACAAAATAAATGTTTTAGCATGGGGATCATTTTGAATAATCTTGTGAATTGAAATGTTAAAAGTGCAAGTCTAATAAAAGTTTCAATATCAGGCACATCAAAATTTCAACTAAGTTTGTTCTGGTTATAAGCTTTTGTGTGCATGCCCACTTCTTTAGATACACACGAAAGCTTATAGCCAGAACAAACTTAGTTGGTCTCGAAGGTGCTACTGGACAATTTTTTATTTATTTTGACTGTGTCGGTCCAACACGGCTACCTACGTGAATCAAAATTTCAGTTTGTGTGCCTTTTGCTTTGCAAATTTTATCACCAGTTCCTTCAGGTCAAGTGCTGATGCTTGGAGCTCAATATATATATAGTTGCCAAGTAAACTAGTCTCTTTTGCAACTTTGCTGAGTGTGTATACGTGTTTATTGCGTGGACAGGTAGAGTCCCCAGATCCCGAGCGGTCCCCCCTGTCATGTGGAATAACGACTCAAGACAACGTGCTATGGGATTAAATTGGCCACAACTTTAGTAAATTTCAAATGTGGGTAGACCTTGGCTCAGGCATTTTGCGTTCTCCCTCCCCAGTCCCCAGCCGGGGACCTAGGAAGCATCAGGGTTATCCAGTGTGTGTGTGTGGGGATGGGCCGGCTCTGGAGAACATATGTTCAAGCAGAGATAGCCGCCCCCGTTACGCCATCACCGCAGGGGAGAGCAATGACGACCTTTCGGCGTACGGTCAAAGCCTCCCTTCAGAAACCCCTTTAACGGGGAACCCTGGTATCGCCGCCGCAAAGAGGAAGATGGACTAAAGGATTCCGCCCAAGGCCTGATACCGCCAAAGTTGTGACATTTTGCTACAGGAAAGGCGAAACCTGCCAATGCAGGGAAATTCCTTTCCGGCCCTTTAACAGTGACCTTAACGTAGCAGCGCCCGCATACCTGTGAAGAAAAGTTAACCTGCAAAACCTGTGAAGAAAAGTTAACCTGCAAAATAAGACATTAACTGAGGGTGGGTAGGGTGGGAGAAGCTCTGGAGCCAAGTGAGGATTCCCAGGTAAGATCCTCCCTCTATTGTGTGGGCAGGTAATCCTTCCCCTACCTGGCCTGGTCTCCTTGGCAACGCTTCCCCCAGGTGGGATTGGACAACTGACTGAGGTAGGCGGAGACCTCCAGGTATCCCACCTGAGGGAAGGCAAAGCCAAGCCTATGCTGATGGAGCCACTCCAGATCCAGGGGCTGCGCACGTCCACGCAAAGGGCGCCCCCCGTTTTAAGCGGGGAGTGGTCATTAGTTTGAGCTTTCTGAGGCCTGTGCATTAGGTGGCTGCCTAGTTGGCCTAATGACAGCACCGCTCCTGCAGCACCAGTCCAGCCACTACTCTATTTACCTGAAAAGCTGAGCTCCCTTTTGTCTCTGACACTCTGTTAATCGACATTATGTGTGCAGAAACCAAAATGTTAAATAGCTGTTTGTTTGTGTTACATTAGCCCACATTTGAGCTAAGCTTAATTGATAACTCTCCTATATGTATATTTTTAAGAGCAGCCTTGGACACACCAAGAGGGAGTGCAAGTGTTTCATGCTTTCTTGGTTTTGAGCTTCCAAAGGGGAATTTACCTGGCTGGCCACTGTTGAATGTGAATGCTGGAGACTAGATGCACTTTGGTCTAATCCAGGGTCGATTCTTAGGTTAAATTGCACTGTCAATGCATTGCACAATGGGGAACTCATTTAGGGGAGATATGTAAGCTGCATGCACATCTTCCCTGTGAGGATTCTGCTTTGGAAAATACAGGGGCTGCATAAATAGTGGAAATGCAAGGCATTAATATATCCACTTATCTGTGTACCAAACAACATCCAGAGCCAGAATATGTCTAAAGAAAGAAGAGAAAGCAGCATCTCAAGAATGTCACACAGAGCCAATTTCAAGGTGCTAACATCAGGCACTCCAAGTTAATCTAAGAAAGATGCTGAGTTACCACTGGATTCAAATAAAACAATATGTCATTCTGTCCTATTTTATTTATTTCACAAAATTTTGTACGCTGCTTGTTTTTTTTAAAAAAAGAAAAGACAACCTCAAAATAAAACAAGAAAATTATCACTAAGAAAAATTAACAGCAATAATTTAATTCTTCTCAAAAGTTAAAATGACAATAAAACTCGCACCAACTTTATAAACATCTGGGTAGGCTTGTCTGAATAAGAATGTTTTTAGCAGGCACCAGAAAGAGTACACCGAAGGAGCTTGCCTGATATCAATAGGCAGGGGGTTCCAATGTGTAGGTGCTGCCACACTAAAAGCTCAAACTATTACAATTGTGGAATGGGTATTATGTGGCACTGTTAACAGTGCAGGTTCTGTTGATTGAAGTGTGTTCATGTTCTAAATTAGAATGGTGAATATAGCTTACTCATTCATTTGGATACTTCCTACTGATGTGGAATTGTCCCATCAGAAGCATCTCCCCTGTTGCTGGAGGTGCATGTAATTTGGACCCTCCTATTATATTATATTATATTCCATCAAATGCCTGTCAACAATTCTGTTCCAAATTCTGATGTCTTTCTTTACGCTGTTGAAAACACTTTTGTGTGTGTGTGTGTGTGTGTGTGTGTGTGCGCGCACACACACACACACACACAAAGCATATATATATATACACACCCTAGTTTCAAATAAATTCATTTCATTGCTGTTCTTTTTTCTCCTTTTTTTCTTTCCACTTACTAAGGGGGCATTTTGGTACCCATGGAATGACAATGATCCATTTTTTCCAGTCTCTCATTGTCTGCTCTGCTTCTGAAACACACTTAGCCATATTCAACAGAACCACTCATGAACCTGAGTACTTGCTGAACTGGAAATTAAGAAAGAGACTTTCTAAGGTACTTAAATAGTGGGCTAATGGCTCTGACGCTCATAAATCAGTATGAAGTAAGTGGAAAGCTATAGCTTCTCATTTGTACACTTGAATATGTATCTCTTTAGGAAGTTAAAATCAATGAGATTTGTCTTTCTACGTGCTTTTTATTTCAAAACATTTGTCGTGCATGTGTATGCAATGTGAACATTTCTCCGCTAGGGGCCGCAGTGCTCTTCCAGGGACAAAGCCACATATGTCCTGATCTGAAGCCAGAACTGCTTTTCCCTTCAACATACCCAAACAGAAGCAGCTTGGGACTAAGACCAGTGCACGGAGCACTATCAATACAACCAATATGCATAGTTTATTTGTTTACTGGGTATGGAGGAAATATGTCTCATTCCTCGGTATTTCTGCTCCCAGAGCAGCTAACAAATCAGAAACAAACAATTAAACCACATATAAACAATAAAAAACAGCAAAACAGTAAGAGCATAAAATCATAACAGCGAAATAAAACCAATTCAACCAGGATGCAGCAAACAAGGAAAGTGCTATGGGTCCCATTTACCTCCTATGTGGGTGGAAGCCTTTCACATTTTTGATCCAATTCTAATTCCAATCAAATACAGGTGTAAACATTTCTTCCCACAACCAAGCACCCCAAGAACTGCAATCAGTGAGGATCTTTCCCACTTTTGTCTTAATTAGTGATCTTGTTGTGCTGTTATGTGGTATTCGTTTTAGTTGACTGTATTTTGCATGTCAAAAACACCATTACTGCACTATTTGTTCCAGCACTAAAAAAAGACATGGGATTTGGCAGCTGGATTGCTTTCCTGAAAGCAGTGTTCTGAAGGCAGCATGCCACAACCCAAAGGACCCTTTCCCTGGCTAGTACCTTCAACAGAGAACCTGTTGTGGGTCAACATCTACTTGGATGTAGATGTGTGCAGGGGGTGCTCATCAAATTTGCAGACAACACCAAACTGGGATGGGTAGCCAATGCTGCTGAAGACAGAATCAAGCATTCAATATGACCTTAACAGATTGGAGAAAAGGGCCAAAACTAACAGAATGAATGTCAATAGAAACAAATGTCAGGTGTTACACTGAGGCAGGAATAACCAGCTGCACAAATATAAGATGGGGGACACCTGACTTGCCAGTAGGAAATATGAAAAGTACCTAGGGGTCTTAGTAGACCACAAGCTTCAACAAGAGTTCTGAGCAAGGGAAGTAATGGTACCGCTCTATTCTGCCACAATTTAACAAAGATATTGACAAGGTAGAACATGTGCAGAGGAGGGTGACCAAGATGACAGAGGGTCTGGAAACCAAGCCTTATGAGGAACGGCTGGGGGAATTGAGTATGTTTAGCCTGGATAAGGAAGAATTGGTGCTCTTGAATCATGGTGCTGGAGGAGACTCTTGAGAGTCCCATGGACTGCAAGAAGATCAAACATCCATTCTGAAGGAAAGCAGCCCTGAGTGCTCATTGGAAGGACAGATCCTGAAGCTGAGCTCCAATACTTTGGCTACCTCATGAGAAGAGAAGACTCCCTGGAAAAGACCCTGATGTTGGGAAAGATGGAGGGCACAAGGATAAGGGGACGACAGAGGACGAGATGGTTGGACAGTGTTCTCAAAGCTACTAACATGAGTTTGACCAAACTGTGGGAGGCAGTGGAAGACGGGAGTGCCTGGCGTGCCCTTGTCCATGGGGTCACGAAGAGTTGGACACAACTAAACGACTAAATAACAACAGAGGACTGAGACAAGATATGATAGCCAACTTCAAATATCTAAGTGGCTGTCACATGGGAAATGGAGCAGGCTTGTTTTCTCTTGCTCTGGAGAACCAATAGATTCAAGTTCCAAGAAAAGAGATTCCAACTAAACATCAGAAAGAACTTTCTGACAGTAAGAACTCTTTGACAGTGGAACAGACTCCCATGAGAGGTGGTAGACTTTCCTTCTTTGGAGGTTTTTAAGCAGAACTTAGATGGCCATTTGCCATGTAGGATCTAATTGAGATTCCAGCATTGCAGGGGTTGAAATAGATGATCCTTAGGGTCTATGAAAATGGCCTCTAAAATGGACTTAATGGGCAGGCTGGTTTGTGTGCAAAGAGGTGATCCCCAAAGGTATTTTATGTCACATTATATCTATGTGCAATAATTTTGATTTAGGGCTAAAGCAACAAATTAGGTGTAGATACTTTGAGATACTTTACTAGAAGTATTGATGATCTACCTCAGTATAAGTTAGCTTCATAAATATATGCTGTTAACATTCCCATCCTCTTCTAGCCTGGACAGCATTTGAAACAGAAAGCTGAAAGTGAGCATTCAAATGTTTCCTCAATGTTATGTGGGACAACTCATCAATCATATTTGCTTATATTTTGGAAGAAGATGGGAAACAGTCACATAAACGGATTTTTTACAGGCGTAAAAATGATTCAAAGTAGCTGTAAAATCATTTACTGATATCCAGCTACTTTTTGCAGTAGTTTGGCAGATTCTCTACATCAAGAACAAATTTGATTTAAGATTTGTAATAAGCACTTACATCAATAAATTATAACAGATTGGTGATTAGTGGTATTATTTATATGCAATATTTTTGTACCTCTTATAATGCCGCTGTCTGCTTCACAGGGATTAATTATTTTCATAATTTTGTCTAAGTAGTAATATAGAAAATGTCAAAAAGAAAATTAGATTTTCACTTTCCAGGCACAGAAATTTAATTAAAGTCAACTCATAGTCAAAGGAGAACATTCTTCATCAGTTCTGAGATGTGGCAACGATGCCATGCAAGCGACCAAAGCTCAAAAAGTAAGTCTAGGAATATTAATTGAAGGCTTACACGCCTATGCACATAGCCCAAATGGTCTCTGGAGTTTGTCTACTGGAGACAAGTTATAACTAAAACCACCTGGTGATGGTTTTCCCAGCTGAACCCTATTCCTGCTTATGGAACCCTCTCACATATGAACCATTAGGAATTCTAATAGAGGGAAGATTAGATGCCTTCATTTAAATAAATACATTTCCAGGAGCTCACCTTAACTTAGAAAATGGAGATGGTAATTTAACTGTACATAAAGACACCTTCATTAAAAGCCAGCAAATTAAAGAAGGCAAATTAAAACCTGAGTCTGAATGGATGACTTTTTATGGTTGTGTATATCATTTATTTAAGTATTAACATCCCACTCTCCTGGTTAAAGCTTCTAAGCTTCTACAAAGTGGTTTACATAAAACATAACCAAACCAATATAAATACAACGTAAACAATCATAAAACCATGTGAATTATTAAACACATTTAAAACATTAAATAAAATAGCAGCGTAAAAACATCCTGATTGAGACCAGTAAGGATAAAACACAGAACAATAGTATTTTTTAAAAAAACAGACGGGTGTCAGCAACTGAAAGCAGACTGAAAGACGTAAGTTTTTAAGGCTCATTTAAAATGATATAAAGAGGGGGCCAAAGACCCATCCTATGGGGATAGGCTCCATTAAGATGTGTCACCACTGAAATGTCCATGCCATTTTTTGCCCACCACTCTAACTATTTTGGGGCGGGGGGGTGAGGAAACACAAATGTGGTGGGGGGTAGAAATCTCTCTTCTATTCACTTGTTTTAATTTGCCAGCAATTGCCATTTTAGATGAGCTGTAAGCAGCATTCTATAGGCAACTAAAACTAGTTTGATTCACTGCCCTCAAAACTGTGCTTTTCTTTGCTTTTTATCCGTGTGAACCAATTTAGTATATCATTGCAAGTAAGTGAACAAAATAAATTCAAGAAAATGTAGTTACTACATTGGGCGAATTTGCTCATTAATAGCTGCTTCTTCTCGAAGCATATTTTCCTTCTGCTTTTATGTTTCCCACAATGCCCATTATTTAAGCTGTCTTAAATAAAATGATGCAAAAAATATTTATATGCCATTAAAAACTTCTTTCTTTCTTTTTTAAAAAAACCTACTAATGCAAAATGGGCAGTATGACCATTTAAATTATTTCCAGTCTAGTCTAGTGTTCTTGTCCATGTGCTGAAAAACAGATAAACTCTGGGTTTATACTACTGAACATTTTCTTTTTCATCATATTGAAGCATATTCAAGAGATCATGAACCACAGAAGAATTACGAGGGACTTCGCGATTAAAAATATCTTTTTAAAATGAGCATATAAACCAGGCCTGCATATACCATAGCTTGTGCCTTATCCTATGAAACACAGCCTATTATCCATGCATTTTGCTATGCCAGATATTTGACAGCCCCCCTCCCGTAACTTTATGAATTTCAGACATGAAACAAAAATGGAGCTTATTGAGTCCCTTTTGGGCCACCATACATGGCTGGTGGGCTATCTTCAGTTTGATTAAAAGGGAGAGTGAAAACCACATAGAAAACACATGTTAGGATACCTTCTGAACCCAAAGTGTTTTTTTGCAATTTGTTTATAGTGTTATTTTAATTTTCATGGATTTTTTATTATTGTGAGCTACCTGGGCTCTCTTTGGAGAGGAAGGGTGGACTGTACAGTTGAAATAATACATAAATAAGGAGGTTGTACTATCTGAACTCAGCTCTGGGCAGCCTCCCTGTCTGAGAAGGGTCACGCTGAGAGGTTTTGAAGGTGCAGATATAAAATGCTCAAAGGGATACTTTGAAGGCAGGCATTGGGGCCAATCTCTGCCTTCAAATCTCACCCTTCTCAGCCAGGAGACTGCTCAGGTCTGAGGTAAGGATGGGGAAAAAATTC